CTCATAGAGTTTTTGAAGAAACTTTAGGAGGGAATGTGTTTTGATTTATGTGTTAGTGTCTAAAAGAGAGTTTAATGACTTATATACTCTTAAAAAACCCATAAACACTAAAAAAACCTTCCAAAGCGTTATTGGAACGTGGGGTGAATTTACACTTTCACCCTTTACTTAACAGTGAAGTTGTGCGCAAGGACATTGCCATCGACGCCCTGCATCGATGATCTGTGGTCTTACTCACGTCCTGTATATAGGGTCCCGTGGTTTTCTCATGCATCAACTCCACCTTCAACTTGCAGGCTCCATCAATGCCACAAATTTACGGGCTTCAAGTCGTAAGTTGGGTCATTCTTTAAGGCCCCTTATGTGTCCTACATGGAGTCGTAACTGGATGTTTCCAACCCAAATATGTTCGTATACAAGTTTATGACCTACCATATAAGTTTTATCGAAAATGAACCAGATGTTTCCAACCCAAATATGTTCGTACACATGTTTAGGACCTACCAAATAAATTTCGTCCAAAACAAACACGTAAAACTCGCCGAAACATGCATAGACACATAAGGTCGTTTCAAGGCACACCTTTGAAACGTCATGGACGTTTGACCTCCAAACTTCCGATATACACCATAATAAGTCATTTAAGTACATTATAACCTCACAAATCACATATAAACACATAAAACCACATATGAGGCACCTAGGCGAGTTAGTCGTCGAACGTCTTGCTCATCCCCTGACATTTGACTTTCATTGGACCTAAACTCTAAGACCTTGCCTCAAAACTACCTTGAAAACAAATTTAGGACCTTAGACTATAATGACAAAAGTTTTAGGCTCTAGCTTAACCTAATTCATTTTTGGGATCTTACAATGACCCTAGTAATAATAAATCTAAGCAAACAACACTGATAGGTGTTGCAGTTGTGGAAAAACGGGACATAGAGCATAAGACTATACAACCACTAATAAAAATAAAGACAAAATTCATATGTCAGAATTAGAAGAAGAAGTTAAATATAATTTATATTCCGTCCTAGAAAATAATAAAAACAACTCCTCATTTGATAAAAATCTTAGCGATGAAGACAAACTAAATATAGCCTATGATTATGAAGACAGTAAATCATCATACTCTTGTGAATGCGGAAGTTCTATTTGGACCAACAAGAATCATTCTGTAAATGTCATCACTAGTAGAAAAGAAACATTTTTTTGATATAATAGATTATATTGAGAATCCGGATTTGAAGAATAAATAATTATTACCTTAAGAGATTTAGTTCTTAAAAAAGAGTGGATAATAGGACTATTAATCCCTTTGATATGCCAATTGTTATAAATAAATTTAAACAATCAATTAAAACTAAAACAACTCTACAAAGTATTCGGGCCGAACTAATACAAATAAGAGATGAAATAAATAAAATTAAGAAGATACTCAACACTTTAAAAATTGAGTCACTTATTAATAAAACATTGAAAATCTATTACCCCAACAAGAACCGAAGGAATGTAAATAAGAAACTCGAAAAACATCAAAAGAAGTAGAGTCTCTCGTAGAACCTCTTTCGAATTAGGAATTAATACAATTAGAGTCATTCGATCACAAAGCTACCACATACCCATTACATTAATTATAGATAAAAATTATATTATTCATAAAATTGCATTATTTGATACAAGCGTAGATCAAAATTACATTATTAAAGGATTAATTCCGCATAATATCTAGATAAATGTACTACCTGATTATTCTACACCACAAGGGAAAAGCTTAAAATAAATTATAAACTCAAGAATGCATACATATGCAATAATGAAATTGTTTTCATAAATGATTTCATGATAACCAAAGACATAAATGAGGAAATTATATTAAGTATTCTTTTCATCACACAAATAAAGCCTTATACCTTCCAATTAGATGGAATCCAAACCAGAGTTCAAGGAAAGAATCTCCTCTTCCCTTACCTAAATACAATGTCAAAAGACGAAAGTAATTTCATAAAAAGGTTAAAATATCTTTCAAATAAATTCACTTTTTCATCAAGAAAATTTTACAATAGAGATTACTAAACCTTCTCCTCCTCCTCTATTTTTTTAGCAGTAGGAGTTACCCTCCTTCAATAAACAAATAATGACTGCAATGCAGCCATGGATTTTCCATAAAATTTTGGTTTTTTCAAATTTAAATAAAAAGAAAAAGCCTCCCAAAATTAATTTCCAGGGAATTAATGAGACCAGGAATTAAAAAAAATAAATTCATTTTTGTACTTCTTCAAGTTATGGGTTGAATATTGTTTAACCATTAAAAAAAGTTTGAGATTGCTTCGAATGCAATAGAGGTCAACAAGTGTTACATGTACTGTCAATAACTACATAAAATATGAAAATTATGGTTGCCTTGCTACACCAACAAAAATGTGGAGACAGAGGATTCTCGCAACACCGGGAGGTATATAAGTTTCTTTTCACAGATACATTTAAACGGAACAAATATTTGAGAAAATCAACAGGTATTATCAACTCAACATCAAAGGTAGTTTACAAGAAGTTCCAGAGGATCAAATATTTAATCAAGGCAATTAATATTAGGGAATCAGTTGTCCCTTAGTGATAAGATAATTTCAAGATCATCATTCGCAGGAATTATGACAATTCCAAAGAATGATTAAAGAGAATGTGTAAGTAAGTCTTATTTAAACCTCAACACTGATAATAAATCAAAGTACGAATTATCAGATATTGCTACTACATAAAATACACAAAATTACTTTCTTAATAAAAAGAAAGTTTCAGCACACTTTGCTATCACTTTGATGATAAACATGAAAAATATCAAGTAAAGAAATATCCAAGAGTGGACCATACTTGCAACGATATGTTATACAAGTTTGAAGACCTTTATTAAAATCAATATTGGACAAACAAGCTTATTCACTATGTCAACAATTCCACCAACATGTGGATCCCGCATCAATAAATCCACAAAGTAACAAGAGGACAAAATAACAAAATATACTTTGAAGATAAAATTTCAGCAAATGAAGATAAACACACAGTGAAGGCTACGTAAGTATTTTCAGCTAACGTGGCATCTATTCCAAGTCACATACAATTATCATCAATTATTTGTAATAGGTAGTAGTTATATGTTAAAAAAATTATGTGTATTAGTGTATGACACATGTACAAAAGATAGCATAATAAGTTAGATTAGTCAGTACTTTTGAGGCCTATTTAAGGATTATAAATTGTACAAGTAGAGGCATTAAAAATCATACGACTTTGAAACTTCTCTACTTTCTCCTTACACTTTCTCTCCATTTCCCCATATTTTCCATTTCCATTTCCATTTCAACCTATGTTCTCTTTTTCCCTTAATCAATTAAAAGTTTTATTGTATGTATTCTGTACTTATTTTAATTATTAAGTTTATGTTTTAATGTTTCATATTTAAGTTTGTTTAATACTTTAGTTATTCTCTTTGTTTAAGATTTCATAAACTTTTTCTTTTAAGTTTTTGCTCCTTCCGTTACTCTTCTTAAATTTACTTAGGATTCCGTCCCGGAACTAGGTTTGTTACTCCTACTAATACCCTTCTCGACCAACTGGGCTCTAATATCAATGGAGGGGATGGGTATGAGTAGGAGCTGCTAAGTCCATATGTTGTCCTTGGGCGTACATCGTCGAAACCTAGGTTGTGGTTGTGGTGGTAAGTTCGAAGTTTGGTAGTTGTTGTTATTCTTCCACTTATGTACTTAGTTTTATTTCTTGAAGTAGGGTAACCAGATAATTCTCTGTTTAGACATTGTGAAGTCCGTACATTCCGTTGGATTAGCTTAGACTATGTGTGTCATAGAGCCGGACTCGTAGAGTGTTCTGGTCGCCAAGCACAAAGGAATAAAATCAAAGAAAGTTAGTAAAAAAAGTAACAACAATTACTACACAGAGAATTTATTATTTTGGTGGTAATCTTTAAAGTAGACATTTAAGCCTAAGGATTGTTTTCTTCTCCCCGCTAGATACTCCATTAACTTAAAATAAGACCACATGCTAGACACCATAATTTAATTAAAGATTACGATATGAAAACTTCTGAGTCTACTATTACTATTAATAAAGATATTGAGACTATAATTTTTTAATAAAATCAGTAATTATAAGAAAAAATATAAACTTCTTCATATAGGACTTGTCCAAGTAATAGTAAACCCATTATATAGGTTGGATTCAGATGTACCTATATGCATTTTTTTATGAGACAATAAGTTATTAAATTTTGATGATTCTTTATTAACAGTAGTAATAAGTAACATTGTCAAAGGCATGATATACATTAATTGTTATAATAATTATTCAATAAATATTAATGATTCAAACATAATTGATTCATTAACATTAAAGGTTAAAACAAATAGTAAGGATACTACAGTGAAAATAACCATAATATATAGAATATACTATAAACTAATGAAAACTACCTAAGCCCCAAAGGCTAAAATGGTCAATAATAAACGAGTTACAATACTCACGAAAGCATATTTTAACACCTTTGTCCGAAGAATAATAAATTTGAATAACATATTTATAAAAGATGATTCGCATTTTCACTGCATAACGGAGCTAGAATATGAAAAGGAAAAACTAAAATTTCACCAAGTAATTAAACGTCAAAACAAATAAATATATAAAAAATATAAAAGTGTAAATTTCTAAGAAACAATTCAGAAAATGAAAAATAAGAATTTTAAACCCATAAAATTCTCAAATGCCACTACTAGAAAAGTTCAAGAAATAAAAAATTATATTGGCATGATTCATTTAGATAATCTTTTTAAACCATACATTAATTATTTAAATAAACATTAGACTAGTCTAGAAAAATCTATTGAAAAATAATGGTATATAAAAAGATATTCTTTATCAGAAAAATTAACCTTTAGAAATAAATGGTTTAGTGATATGAAAGATTAAAATGTAACATAGATTTTTTAAAGTTGTTTTAATACACAGGAAAATTAGACGGCCGAAAGTAGTCGTTAAATATTCTAGTTAAGAAATTGTATATTACTAATAACAAGGTAGTTGAATCTAAAATTTCTCCTTTATAAGAAATTAGTCTACGTATGGACATTAGGGCTATTACTACCTGACCTTCTAATATGGATATAGTAGATACTAAAGGGTATCCTAAAAATAAAGATATAAGTAGAATTCTGCAATAAAATAATTATACAAATCGACTACATCATGTAGTCTTTCATTGTAAAACATTTGAAAGTCAAGACCTAATCTAGAGATTAATATAAGTTTCTAGTGGTTTAGATACTTTTTTAAAACCTAAAATAATACGTATAAGTAATCTGAGAAGTTTTAGATCAAACGCGTCAAAAAACGTCTATGACGTCCGAAATCTAGCTAAATTGAACTAGTTGACGTCTCTATATATGGAGAAGGTTTGAGAGGGTAAAATGAAGTCTAAAACACGTAAAAAGACATTAAATTTTTAAAACATAGTATATTGTGTCTAAACGATCAATAACGGCTCCCCAAGAATCACCCGAAGGGTCCTTGAGGAGGACCCCAAAATGGGTAGGCAAACTGCCAAAGCCGCCTGCACGAGTAAGGAATCAAGGGCAGTTGTACGACATTCATACAACACGAGGTCCACTACCTTAGTTAAATCTTCAAAAATAAAATTTGTCATTATCATCGTGACGTGAAATCTTCAAAAATAAAATTTGTCATTATCATCGTGACGTTGATCCACTACTCAGATTCATAAAAATCGTATTTTAGGCATTTTGACTTCATAAAAAGACCCAATTAAGTGGGGGCCTTTTGGATAATTTAGGGGTGATTATATATATCCTAAGGGTCAGTTTTAAGTCATTTTAAACTTAATCAAAATCCAATTCCCAAAATAAACCCAAAACCTCTCATATCTCTGTACTTTCTCTCTCCCTAAATCCTCCATTGAAGAAAGAACAATGCTTGAAGAAGAAGACCAATTTCTCTAGGAATTCACTTAAATGTTGTTGATTAATATTCATTAAGGTATAGTTTATCCATTCTTGGGATTCCTTTCCCAAAGAGTTCCTTTCAAAGTTTATTTCTAAATCGCCCAGTTCCAAGGGTTTTCCAATTCTAATAGGTTTTCTTCTAAACTTCAAATTATTGATTGATCTAAATTAATTGTGATGACTTATGACTAAATTGAGTTTATATTGTTAGTTAATTGATGTTAATCGATTGAATTTTATGATGATCATGTCTCTTCCTCAATTTCCCCAAATCTTGGATCTTGATTGTAAATTGATGGTAATTGAAGCATGAATTGAGCATTAGATAGTGATGACTATGGTAAGGTATTGTTTGATTGGATCAAATTCTTGATGAATTCATTAGGAACCCTATTTACCGAGGTTAGAAATTTTTGTTAATTGGATAGTGATAATATAATTGACCTAGTTCTTGTGTTAATTATTATTGACTGATGTTACTACACCTAGTGTTTGATTTAATTGGTTGGTTGATTGTATGACCATGATGATAGATATTGAAGGAGATTGAATAAGTCTTTATAATCCTCACCTTTGTTTCAATTATAATGGCTTGTGATTGATGAGATAGTTCAATTGAAACATGACTTGTGATTAGCCAAAGTACGTGTAGTATGATGTTGATATAAAATGTCTTGACTATGCCATTATGAAATTTTTTTAACATGAAAATATATAAGGTTTGTTATGAAGTACCTATGTTCCTTATTATTACATGATGATGATGCACTACAAATCTCATTTATGAGGGTTGTCGTGAAAGGATATTCTGCAGCAATTCCAATGACCTAATGACAATAACTATACAAGGGATTAGACTGTATGACCTAAACTAATCGTATGATTGATAAAGAAAGACATTTAAAAAGGGACTCTAGCTTAGCATCGAGTGATGTTGTAGATTAGGGGTGACACCTTCCAAAGGAGGGAATATAGGGTTCACCATAGTCCTCACAGGGTTGATAGCCTCATAGTCTAAAAAGGGACTAAAGTGATGTTGCCATAACATCCCTCAAGCCCATAAACTATGTTTCCACCGTAGGAATACTAGCTAGTGGATCTACCTATATTCTATATTCATGTTTGGTTCTACTTTGACCGCTAGACCACCTTCCATCAGTGTAATGTTTTACAACAGTCGATTTCACTCTAAGCTCTTTTGTTCTATGTCAGTTAAGGCAAGTGTTCCAAAAAGTTAAATTAAGTAACAGACTATACACTAACTAGGGTGACTTGAGGGGTTTGACTAAGGCTAGGTAGGGGTATGAGACTCTACCTATGCCTTGTACTAGTTTGCCTTGAGGGAATCCTTAGGAGGTTGTTCTTGTGTTCTTATAATGTAAATGCTATTAATAAGATGACTTTAAATGTTGATGATCCTATATATTATTAGTTTCATTTATGAACATGCTATTGGTCTATATTGCTAAATGTGATAATGACTACTATTGATTCTATGTTATATTGAGTGGACGTTACTTATTATCCTTTGTTTGTTTAACTCGATTGAGTAAGGTTATGGGGAAATACTTGGTCATTGCACTTGTAGGCTTAATGATGGGTTATGGCTAAGGGTCTTCCTCATGTTGTTGATGTTATGACTTGATGTGGGGGTTGCCTTTATTATGTACTCAATTATGTGGATATACATGTTGAGTTAACTATACTTGTTAATGTTAGTATTGTGTTGTACATGATTTAGACTTATGGATTATGTAAGTATTGTCTTATATGAGTTCTTGATAGTGCATAAAGCCTTTCAAAGTACTTTTGCATGGTTTTGATCAAATCTCCTCTTAGCATGATTTCAATTGTTTTATGAGCATATACTCATACTTAGCACAAGTGTGTACTAACCCCTTCTTTTATGTTTACGACAAAATGTAGGATTCGACCGTTGAGCTTAGTTGAAGTCCATTGATGACCACTCGGACATTTCCCAAGTGTTTTGGTAGGTCCTAATTTTCCGAGGACAATGGCATTATCAAGCTACTAATGTTGTTTTAGTTTTAAAGCTTCTATGTTCTTTCCTTTTCATTGAAGTCGTTTGTTGTAATATCCTATATGTGGCTTCAACTGTTGATATATGGGCTATGCCCAATTGTTATATTCTTGTTTTGATGGTTATGATATGAGATACACGTTTTAAGACAATATCGTACCTTATATAAATGTGTGTGTAATAAAAGTAGAAGACCATGTAATCTTCCCACACGAAAGGTCTATGTTTACTCGATATCAATATATTATGTGTATTTAGAGGTCTATGTAAACCTCAACGTAGAAGTTAATGAAAAGTTTTAAATATTCTGCTAATTAAACCTATGTAATGTATTGACGAATGCAAAGAGGTTAGTTTAGTCCTCTTCGAGGTTGACGATACCTTTTACTTTTAGGGGGTGCTCCCCGGATGTAACAAACCATGTTTAAGAGCATGAAGTTGAATATCTTTAGGATTGATGTCTCATTAAACCACATCTATATAGGTTCTTATTCATAATTGTGAAGCCTGCCGCACTTATAAATGAGAAGCTATATGATGCTTAGAAATTCTCATCTTCTAGGTAATCCATTGTCATGCCTCTGGAGTCTACTTCATCTGTGATTTAACCTAAATCTTTTATTGTACTTATAGGCATGAATACTCGAAGAAAAATCCGCACGAAGACTTGATGAAGAGATTGCTAATGTGTGAGTTCCTCCCCGTGGAAATCAAGATCCTCCTCTTGAAGAAGTTGCTTATGGTGACCAAGCTCTGGCTAATCATGCGGTCTAGTCGATGGGGACATAAGGGCAGCTTTCATCCAAATTGCCCAAGACATTACTACACAAGCACAAGTCGTCACTACTCAAGTACAAGTCATGACAGACTAAGCAAATCGGAAGGTGCTACCCAAAGGAAACAAACAAATTGGCACAATGGTTTCCCGTTTGAGGGATTTCTCAAGGATGAATCCCCCTACTTTATAGGAGTCAAAATTGGAGGAAGACTTGTAAGAGTTCGTTGATGAAGTCTACAAAATCCTCTATCATATGGGGTTGACTAATAGTGAAAAGGCCGAGTTAGCCACCTACAAACTCAAGGACTTGACCCAAATTTGGTACGTCCAATGGAGAGAAAATAGGACTTTGAGAGATGGTCTAGTGACATTGGAAATTTTCAAGAAGGCTTTTCTTGATAGGTTCTTTCAAAGGGAGAAGAGGGAATCCAAAGTGGAAGAATTCATCAACCTTCATCAAGGAGGTATGTGTGTGCTTTACTACTCTTTGAAATTTGCTAAGTTGACTAAGTATGCTCCTTCTTTGGTTTCCAACCCTAGGGATGAAATGAGCAACTTTGTGAAGGGAATGTAGCATGACATAAAAGAGGAATGTCGTTCAGCTATGCAACATGAGAATATGAAAAATTCTCGTCTAAAGGTTCATGGTCAATAAGTCGAAGAGGCAAAAGTCAAGAAGAATAGTAGAGATGCCAATAGGGCAAAGTCATTTGATGGTTGTTCTTCAAAGGGTAGGCTCGATATCTAAAACAAGAGCAGGTTCAAAAAGAGGTTTTCTAATCAATTTCTTCCATGTTCATAAGGGCCGTGATGATAGGGTGTCTAATCGTAAGCCTAAAAAGGGAAGGGGTACTAGTTCACCAAGTAAGAAGCCAATTTGTGGAAAGTGTGGCAAGAAGTACTATGGTGATTGCCTTATTGGAACGGACAATTGTTATGGATGTGGTAAAAGCTTTCATAAGGTTGAAGATTTCCCAAATATGAAGGGGCAAGACAATGGGATACGACAATCAAGTGGTTCAAATGTTGATCCTCTAAAGAAGAATCACTTCGATGCTCTCCGTCCTAGCGGTGAACAAAATAGTTCTTCTGATGTGGTGACCAATATGTTACAAGTCTTTACTATTGATTTATATGATTTACTTTATCTGGGAACTACATTGTCTTTTTTTAACTTATCTTCTAGCTAAAAAGTATGATATTTTTCCCGATATTTCTAAAAGAACCACTTATGGTGACTACCGCGGAGGGTGAGCCGGTTGTTCAAAGAGGGTATATAGGAATTGTCCCATAATATTGCCCAATAGAATTGCCTATGTTGAACTAGTTGAACTTGATATTGAAGATTTTTAGGTTATATATGGTATGGATTGGTTTCATGATTGCTTTTCTACGACATATTGCATAACAATGGTGGTGAAGTTTACGTTTCCAAATATACCTGTGTAAGAGTGGAAAGGGGGAAATTCTATTTCTCGAAAGTTAAATAATTTCTTGATGGAAAGCTTGCAAAATGATCTCTAAAGGGTGTTTGTAACATATTGTAAGAGTCAAAGATTTAGACTCGGAGATTTCTCCCATTGATATGGTCCCGTAGTGAGGGAATTTTGGAAGGTTTTTCCATATGATCTTCCCGGAAACCCTCCTAAACAAGAAATTGATCTTAATATTGACTTGCTATCGGATCCAAATTCCATGTCAATTCCTTCATATCGGATGTCTCTGGCCGAATGAATGAGTTGAAGGATCAACTCCACGACTTACTACACAAGGCTTTAATACCACCTAATATTTCCCCGTGGGGTGCTCCGATCTTGTTCATAAAGAAGAAGGATGGGTCCCTTAAAATGTGCATCGATTACCAAAAACTCAAAAATGTGACCATTAAGAATAAATATCCTCTCCCTTTGATTTATAACATGTTTGATCAACTCCAAAGGGCAAGCTACTTTTCAAAGATTGATTTGAGGTCGGGATATCACCAACTTAGGGTGAGAAATGACGATATTTCCAAAACGGCCTTTAGAACAAGATATGGTAACTGTGAGTTTAGGGTGATGTCATTTAGGTTGACTAATGCGCTGAGGACATTTATGGACCTTATTAATAGGGTGTTTCAATGTTAACTAGGTTTCTTTTTCATTATGTTCATTAACGACATCTTGGTATATTCGAAGAATGAGGGTGAGCATGTGGACCACTTGGAACTGGTTTTGCATGTCCATAAAGAACATCAAATTTTTTCCAAGTATATCAAATGTGAATTTTTGTTGAGGTTGGTGGCTTCTCATGGTCATTAATCACTAGTGAAGGGGTAGAGGTGGACCGATAAAGACCAAAACGTTTAAGAATTGGCCTAGACCTATGGATCCAACCGATATTAGGCACTTCTTTAGTTTCGCGGGTTATAATAGAAGGTTTGTTGATGGGTTTGCATCCATTGCTTCTCCATTGACTACCTTGACCAAAAAGAATGTAAAGTTCGAGTTGTCGGAAGCATGTGAAAGAAGCTTCCAAATGTATAAAGTTAGGCTTACCTTCCATATGGTGTTGACCTTGCCAAAGGGTACTAAAGGCTTCATGGTATATTGTGATGCATCCCGAGTTGGTTTGAGGTGTGTTCTTATGCCACATGGGAAAGTCATAGCCTATGCCTCAAGGTAACTTAACTCTCATGATAAGAATTACCCGACTCATGATCTTTGGTTAGCGGCAGTTGTTTTCACTTTGAAAATATGGAGGAATTACTTGTATAGGGTTCATTTTGATGTGTATAACAACCATAAGAGTCTGCAATATGTGTTTACCCAAAAGTAGTTGAATCTCTGGATATGAAGGTGGTTAGAGTTGTTGAAAGATTACGAAATGAGTGTGCTCTATAACCCCGGTAAGCTAATGTGGTTGCGGACGCACTAATTCATATAACTATGGTTAGTGTGTCTCATGTAGATGAAGCAAAGAAATACCTAGTAAATGATGTTCATAGGTTGGCTTGTTTGCGCGTTCGATTGGAAGTTTCTCCGAATGATGGTGTTGTGGTTCATCACAACTCCGAATCATCTTTGGTGGTTGAGGGGAAGTCTAACAAACACCTTGATCCCTTATTAATGGATTTGAAGGAATCGGTCCTTTGTAAGCTTAATGAGTCAGCTCCCAAGGGGGGATGGTGTTTTGAGATACCAAGAAAGTTGTGTGTACTCAATGTGGATGATTTGAGAAATGGGATCCTAGAGGAAGCTCATGGGTCCCGTTTTTTGATTCATCCGTGTTCTACTAACATGTATCATGACCTTAGAGAAGTGTTTTGGTGGGATGTCTTGAAAAAGGACATAGCGGAATTTGTTGCAAATTGTCCGAATTGCCAAAAAGTAAAAGCCAAGCACCAAAAGTCATGTGGTTTACTTCAAGAAATCCAAGTCCCAGCTTGAAAGTGGGAAGACATTAATATGGACTTTGTAGTGAGTTTGCGTCGATCTAGAAGGCAATATAACTCAATAAGGGTGGTTATGGATAGATTGACCAAGTCCTCCCATTTTATTCCCGTTAAGTCTACTTACTCGGTGGAAGATTCTGCAAAGATCTATATAGATGTAATTGTGAGTCTTCATTGTATTCCATTATCCATCATATCAGATAAGGGGAACATAATTTACATCTAGGTTTTTGAGATCGTTTTAAAAAGGATTAGGTACGCAAGTGAATTTGAGAAAATATTTTCATCCCCAAACTGATTGTTAACCGGAGCGTACTATCAAAACTCTTGAGGATATGCTTAGAGCTTCTATCATAGACTTCAAGGGTAGTTGGGATAAGAACTTTGCTTTGGTTGAGTTCGCGTGTAATAATAGTTGTCATTCCTTAATATCCATGGATCATTTTGAAGCTTTGTATGGTAGGAGGTGTAGGTCTCCTATCTAATGATATGAGGCTAGCGAATCTTTCCTTCTTGGTCCCGACTTGATCTAAAATACCTTTTAGAAAGTTCACCTAATAATAAATCGCTTGCAAACAGCCTATATTCGGCAAAACTCTTATAACGATAATAGGAGAAGAGAATTAGAGTTTGAAGAAGGTTATAACATGTATTTAAAAATTTCACCGATTAAAGGGGTTGTATGATTTGGCAAGAAAGGGAAGTTAAGTCCTCGTTATGTGCGTCCCTGTAAAAATATGCAAAGGATTTGCAAAGTAGCATACATGTTGACATACATAGTGAGATATTTTTGGTTCATCCGGTTTTCCATGTATGTATGCTAAAGAAGTGCATTGGTTATCCCGGGTCAATTCTTCCTATTGAAGGTTTTGGAGTGAAAGGGAACCTCTCCTATGAAGAGGTTTCAGTTCAAATCCTTGATCAACAAGTGAAGAG